AAATCAGTTGTTGCCGATGCTGCCACCAAAGTCTACGAAAAATGACCGATGGCGTTGCCCCACTAACGGCGTGAATATCGGCCGATTTTTCGTGCGGATGAAAATTCGGCCGATAAACGACCCGTCTATGGCCTGCATAAAGTATGTATTACCTCAAAAAGTACATTTTGTTTTGCTGCTGTGGATCTACTTCCTGTCCATGGTCCCACTGAATGTAGCCACCCTCTATATCTCCCAAAATGAATTGAGGACTATGGTATCTGCAGTGTACCTATAGCAGTGCATGTGACCACAGCTAACATGTTCTGGAGCTCATGGAGGATGTAATAAGGAGGTGGGAAAACACAGCCAAGAAGTATTGGATGTGTATGGATGATTTTTGAACAGCAAGGATATCATAGTGTCACGTTACCTGCTGCTGCCAGACTGTATGCGATGATTCTGATCAGTCAGTGGATGTGTTGTGAATCCTTGACAGGCAGCTTAGGGACAAGTCTTTGATGCAGAGGTAAATACAAGTTTGCTCAAAAAGACGTCCACACTCCCTGCTTTAAAAATATGGTTTGGGGTAATAATATGTATATTATAAACCTATATAGCAGCATTCATAATTGTGTGTTCCCAAATCACAAATATATTTATGTAGGTTACTGTATGTATATACAATACCCTGTGTTAGTCTGTGGCCTGTAATTACAGCTATTTATTTCTAGAAGGCAGACAAATGTACATCTTTAAATTTAATTAGTGACCATGTGCTAGCTAATGTTGGAATTATTCTAACAGAATTACTGAGGTAATTACTTGTACTTGTTGGTAATAGTGATGTTGTAAATGTCAGTATAATTATACAGACGATGACTGCACTGTAGAATCAGTCAATGCCTGGGTTTATACTTCACAGATATCATTTTACTCATCCACACTGGGGTACAGATATGACAGTAATTTGTACATATTAAATGCTCAATTTTTTAAATATGTGTATGTTTGTAAAATTTTGTAACAAGAGGACACTGCTTTACTGTATAATTAAAACTAAATGCATTGTCTTGCAAATAAACAGACATTCACAATGGTTAACGCTTACACAGCTGGCCATACACAGATTTTTTTTTTTTTTTTTTTTTTTTTTTTTCAGCCTTCAAGCTGAACGATATAAATCTCAGATTCCTCTGTCCACGCTAAAGAGCATGGGCAGACAAATCTCCATCTGTGGCTATTGTATTCTAATTGCCGACAACAACGAAACAGCAGCGGACAATTGTCTGCTCAGCTCCTTCGGTTTTTTGCAGGAGCATGGTGACAGGACCATCCATGTAGCAATTTTTGCCTGGTTAATCAGAAACCCACCAAAATTCACATGGTGTTTGACATCTGCATACACTTTCCCATGCATCCTTGTATGTTGAATTAATCCATTCAATCTAATACTGTGTGTGAAAGTTCTAAGGGATCCATACCAGTGACTGCCAGGTCTAAAATCTTTCTCTGGAAATAGTCTGCAGAGATAGGATGGTCATGGCTTATACCAGGTGGGCATAGTTCAATTATTAGTACAAAAAATGGCCACTGCCCCAGTCTATAACTGGCCTTCACAGCAAGGAGCACATGGAAGGACGACGCATGTCAAACAACAAAACCAAAAAAATTCCCAGCTCTAACTTGCCAGCCAGCCTGCAAACAAACCAAATTAACCTGTCTAACAGTATGCATTAAAAACGGGGGTTTAATTAGCACACATTTGCAAATACATGTGTAAGCTACAGAGCCTCGTCACGGCACCCCTGTATTCTGTAGTTCCTAACTCTACAAATGTTAAAAGCCCCCATAGTAGAGGCACATGTATTTAAAGGATAGCCAAGGGCAGGTGAACCTGAGGGAGCCCATCCCTCCTTAAAGGCAGAGGAGCGCACGGGACACCTAGCATGTAGCAAAAATGGCAGCTAAGGTGTCCAGTGCACCCCTTCGACCAATTATTGCAACAGTCACCAGTAGATGTACAGGCATGTAGAGTGATGAGGAAGAGAACAGTGAAATTCATCTCACTAAATGGGTTCAGGTTGGACACTAGATCCTAAACCTCTAGTTACGCAGCAGCACTAATATTCAGATATATCCATCTCATTTTAGTAATCCAATAAGACACACACCCAAACTATATCTGTCTGGGAAAATTTGTTCGAGAATTGCCTTGAAATTATTGGATTAACTCTAGACTGGAACAGGAAAATACCTTTGCAATGCCCATCCCCTCCACACTGCAAGGGTGAAGTACTCCTTATGCCTAGGAGTTCTAGAATAAGGAGAGACACTTGTCTTATTACATGCTCCCCTTGTCCATGCAACCAGTCCAGCGCTGTAAACCTCTCACAGCTGTGGATAATAGCCCTGCATTGTATATGATGATCTTAAAGGAACACCTACAAGCCAGATCCTGAGTTTGGCTTTAAAGTGGTTGTAAAGGCAGGACATGTTTTACCTTAAAACATTCCCTGCATTAAAGTAAATTTTTCCCTGCAGTTGTATCGCCACCTCACCCCCCATAACTCCTATTTCAATCCAGCACTGTGTCCGTCTACAACAGTGTTCTCTCTCTCTCTCTCTCTCTCTCTCTCTCTTCACAGTTCATGGAGGCAACAGCAGATGCCATTGGCTCCTGCTGCTGTCTATCAAATCCTGTGATGAGGGAATGGGGGGGGGGGGACTGAGCTGTGTTGTGGGTGTCTATCAAAGCACATATCCTGGCTTGTGGGTCAGCCCAAAGGTACCCCACCATAGAAATTTGGCTTCCTATTTGGGGCGCACAGAGAAGAGCAGGAGCTGACAATGCTGGCAAGGGACCCCTTGAGGTTCGGGATCGCTATGTGCAGTACCGTTGCACAGAGCAGATAAGTATAACATGTTTATTATTTAAACAAAAAAAAATTACATTTACAACCGCTTTAAGCGCAAATGCAACATAAAATATGATACGCCTTTGTTTTAACCATTTTAGATAACTTCTACAATTATTAGAAACAACATTGTAAATAAGTAAGTTTTATGTCTTTTTGCTGATGACACAAAGGTGTGTGCAATAGGATTGATATCTTTGGAGGTGTTTGTAACATAGAACATGAATTGGCACTGCTGGATGCTTGGTCAAAATAGTGGAAATTGCAGTTCAATATTTCTCAATGGATTCTTTTTCCCTAGGTGCATTATTTTACATTTAGAGTACAACATTGGGGGTACATTGTTGGCCAGCACTTCAAAGGAAAAGGACTTGAGGGTATTTATTTCAGATGACTGCAAAATGAGCAAACAGTGTGGGAAGGCAATGGGGAAAGCGAATAGAATTCTAGGATGCATCACAGCAGAAGGAAGGATGTCCTGATTCCCCTGTATAGATTTTTTAGTTAGACCTCATTTAAAACACTGTGCCTAGTTCTGGAGATTTCACTTACAAAAAGATATTGTTAAGATAGAACGAGTCCAGAGACGAATAACAAAAATGGTGAAATGTCTGGGGGATAAAACATATCAAAAGCGACTTCAGGAACTTAACATGTAGTCTGGAGGAAAGAAGGGAAAGGAGAGACATGATTGACACCTTTAAATACATCAAGGGGGTAAATAAGGTTCAGGCGGCAGTATTTTCAACATGAAACCAAAATCAAGAACACGGGGACATGACCTTAACCTTCCTGGAGGTATTCCCAAGTGTAGCTCGGGGTAAAGTTTCAGTACCACAAGCGGTAACTCCGAGCTGCACTCGGGAATACCCTGCAGCGCTGCTCCGGGATCTCTTCTTCACTTACCTTGTCCTGCTCTCCCGCGATGTCCCTCCTGCAGTGTCCCCGGCAATGTCCTCCGGCCGATGCCGGCATCTGTCTTCTGGGTTCCGTTCCCTGCGACGTCAGGACGTACAGGGACAGAACGGCGGGAAATTTAAATGTGAAAAAGTGACATTCACTAAAATCACATAGTAAAACATTACTGTATCAAACCATTTCACATACATTTTGTCCCTAGTGCTTTGTCCTGTGCCCTGCCTGCATTTTTACTGTTCTTTCTGCCTGGAAACTGAGAAATGTCCATGGCGTCCAAAAAGCATCCCTTTAGGTCAAAAGCGGCTTTAGTCCAGCGAGAGAACAGCGATAGTAAATTAGAACTACTTGCAGAATTGAGTGATAATGATTTGTGGGGGAAATTCATCATCAGACACTGAAAATTATTCTGCGACTTTGCTCAGTGATGTGCGAACTTGGCGCTATATGTCAAATTTCTGTGTTTTTGGTTTGATTATTTTATTGAATTAAATTTATTATTATTATTCTATTATTTTTTATGATTATTAAATTATAATTTATGATTTCGTGTTTCAAATTTTAACATCCCCGGGATGTTTACTAGACTCTTGTTCGGACAGATTTCAGTGAGTTATTCCTAACAATTACAGGCCTACAATAAAGAAAAATGCATATTTCCATGCAAAAAAATGTACCGCTTTGAGCACAGAAATACTGACATAATCAGATTGCTAGGGTGGCTACACTAACTGGAGCAAAGTTCAAAACTAATCTCACAAAGAACTATTTTACTGAAAGAGTAGTTGATACTTTGAAACTATTTACGGTTGACTGGCTCACTACCTCGACTGGAATTATATTCCAACATGCGTGGGACAAGCACAGATCTAAACTCAGACAAAAAAAGTTAAAAAAAAAAAAAAAAAAACGGGCAGCCGCTCTGTGTTTTTCTGCCGTCACTTTTCTGTGTTTCTATGTAAATAAATGCGATGAAATACAGATGAGAAGATGAAATTGACCTTTAAGGATCTTGCCCATGTTTCCTTCATGCTTTGTTGCTGTCTAATGAGTCCATGTGGTACTACAGATTTTATCTACTCTACAAGTTGTTGGCTGTTAAACCATTCATTTATCATAGAGCAGCGGACTGTGGGTCTGGGTTTCTTGCATAGCTTACTGAAATAATAAACGTTTCTATTCACTTAGAACCATATGAAGAAACAGAGGAGCGGTGGTATTCTTCCCTGGAAAATACACGATGGCTGGAGTATGTCAGGTATGCAATGTTAAATGTGAATTTAAATATTTCTAAGTGTTAATGTTGGATTATCAATGTATAATAACAGAGTAACATTTCTTCAGCCTAAGATTTGAGCACAAAAAATGTTAGGGGATTCAGCTAGAATTAACTAATATTTGTGGGGTTTTTTTTTTTTTCGTCTTTTGCATGATATAGCAGTAAATAGTCTGTACAGCAGCAAAACCTATATAAGGAACTGAGTTTGTTGAACTTGTAGAAGTCAATGACCTTTCAAGCTGGGTAATACTGAAGGCAGGGTTGAATGTGTCAGTGCCGGGATCATGGTGTGGCTGGAAAACTAAAGCCTGAGGAAGACAAATCAAGATGAAACTGCTCTTTTAAAAAGAGAAGAGTTCATTTTCACTTCCCTAGAGAGAATGTCTTGGAGTAAGATAAAACTATTTACTGCAATACATGGAGATGGCTTTGATGTATATACACATCAAACATTTACGGTTTATACATAAGGCTCCAGAACTCCGCTTTAAGGGACACAGGAATTCTATAACCTTCCGGTTATATTGCTACCTACAGGAGCATTGGACACTGCCAAAGAAAAATCAACTGTACGCCAGCCTAAGATAACCCCTCCCAGTACCAGCATTGCTTGTGTACTAAGAGAATGGATGTTTTTTCTATATATCTGCTGTTACGACTAACATTCTTTTGATCGCGCCCTTTTTCTTTGATATCTTTTTTTCTTTAATCAAGATTTTTCTCTACATTGCTGCTGAAGCTTTGTCTTTTTGATTGCAGTTTTGTGGTGCAGTCAAGCCTGGCTTTTGGAGCATTTGGAGTATCTCTTCTAGACCCACCCATATTCAGGGATAGCCTGGAAGTGACTGTTGGGCATTGGGCTATGTGTCCTATTGCAATTATTTTGGATGCACTTGAAATCCTGTTCTCCACTTGTGCCACATAAGGTGTTGATACTGTGAGACTGAGTGCTGACATCATCCACTGGGTGTCCCACACTTTTTCCCAAGGAGACTTCCATGCTGTACTGAGTGCCCTCCAGCACACATTCTGCTAACCATTCTAGAGCTGTTTGCATGCCTTCTGATGATTCCAATGTCTGCAGCCTGGAATCTTATCTTCTGCTCTTAGAGTCTGTGTTCCATCCTCAGAGTCCTCCTTGGCAATTTTAGGTGTGGATGTGCTCCTCTCTTGGCCTTTATCGTGGTCATGCAAGATATTATGACTCAAATTATCTAATGCTAACTCCTAGCACACAAACTCTCTTCCACACAAACTCCTGCAGATTCAGTATCTGGTTTGCTTATGGTTGCAGAGGCTGTGTCTGGTTCTGAGTCCCTCTAGTCCCTTACTTATGAGCTTATCTTTGAGGAGTCATATTCTAATGCTTTTACTCCCAAACTAAAAAGACCATTTTAACATTGATGCAGTGCACTTCAGTTTATAACTAGAGAATCACACTGTTGCTTTTTACCAGTTCTTTTTTCAGTTGTAACTCATGAGATCTTTTACATCTGTTTTTCCAACTTTTTCTCTGTGGAGGTTGGAAACAGCCTGACATGTTTGCTCCCCTCAAAAGTTTATTAGCTTTGTATATCTGAAGATTTTGGTGCAAAAGTGGTCTATGCTCACTATGGATCTGAAAGTGTGCCCTCAAAGTGGGCGATTTATCATTCTTGTAGAGAATGTACCTAACCGATAAGCTGTTGGAAGACCTTTCTAGGACTTCACTGGCTGGCTCTGCCAATTATTTGATTCTGGCACACCCTGATAAGTGCCTTTCCTTCTCTGCAAGTTTTCCTCATCTGTTGTGCAGGATCGAGCTGAAGGACATTCCAGTAATCCTGATTGCGCCAGATTGGCTTTTGCAGATGTGGTATACTGACTTGGTAAGTCATAGCAGATGCTCCACAGGTTCTATCGGATTGTCAGGATTTTCTGTCCCAAGAAGCCATTTGCCATCTTGTTTATCAGTGGGTTTACCAGATGTTGAAGCCCAGTTTTTGAGGGACAGGGTATCTCTGGGTCTGTGAATCCTAGCTTAAAGCTAAAAAGTCTACTTCCCGCAATGTCATCAGACATGGAAGGCATATTTAGCTTGGTGTGAGTCTCAGGTCATCCAGCGCAGGATTTCTCTCTGACAAATTCTTTCTTTCCTACAGTTGGGTGTACCCCTGCATCTGGTCCTTAGGTTTTTGTCCTGTTGCAACTGTTGGCATCTCACATCTGATTTAGAGCTTTGTACTGGGTATCTTCAGTATACAGTTGTGTCCAAAATTATTCAACCCCCAATGCTGTAAAGGGGTTTAGGGACTATAGTGTACATTTGGAATTGTATTCAGAATCAAATCCTACAAGGACGTTGTAACTACCCAAATGCAACTAAAATGACATCAATTGTTTATGTAATACAGTAGTAAATGGTTCTTATGTGGTTTCTTCATTGCCACAATTATTCAACCCCTTAACTACCACTCTGAAGAACAGAGGTTCATACAGGTGCTTTCCATCAGGTATTGAAAACACCTGTGGATGTCACCGAGCAGCAATCAAGCATAATAAGCACCAATTAGGCAGCTTTAAAATGACTGTGATACTCAGCTCCTTCTAGACATTTACTGGTGTGGTTACAAACATGGTGAAGGCAAGAGAATGGTCCAGGAAGACAAGAGAAGAGGTGATTTCTCTTCACAGGAAGGGCAATGGCTATAAGAAGATTGCAAAGATGTTAAACATACCAAGAGACACCTTAGGAAGCATCATTCGCAAATTCAAGGCAAAGGGCACTGTTGAAACGCTACCTGGTCGTGGCAGAAAGAAGATGCTGACTTCGACTGCTGTGCGCTACCTGAAGCGTAGAGTGGAGAGAAGTCCCCGTGTGACTGCTGAGGAACTGAGAAAAGATTTGTCAGATGTGGGTACAGAAGTTTCAGCCCAGACAATAAGACGCACACTGCGTAATGAAGGCCTCCGTGCCAGAACTCCCAGGCGTACCCCCTTGCTGTCTCCAAAGAATAAGAAGAGTCGACTGCAGTATGCCAAAAGCCATGTGGACAAACCACAAAAGTTGTGGGATAGTGTTCTGTGGACTGATGAAACAAAATTAGAACTGTTTGGGCCCATGGATCAACGCTATGTTTGGAGGAGGAAGAACAAGGCCTATGATGAAAAGAACACCTTGCCTACTGTGAAGCATGGTGGAGGGTCAATCATGCTTTGGGGCTGTTTTGCTTCTGCAGGTACAGGGAAGCTTCAGCGTGTGCAAGGTACCATGAATTCTCTTCAGTACCAGGAGATATTGGATGGAAACGTGATGCAGTCCGTCACACACCTGAGGCTTGGGAGACGTTGGACCTTTCAACAGGACAATGATCCCAAGCATACCTCCAAGTCCACTAGAGCATGGTTGCAGAGGAAAGGCTGGAACATTTTGGAGTGGCCATCGCAGTCACCAGACTTAAATCCGATTGAGAACCTCTGGTGGGACTTAAAGAAAGCAGTTGCAGTGCGCAAGCCTAAGAATGTGACTGAACTGGAGGCCTTTGCCCATGAAGAATGGGCGAAGATACCCGTAGATCGCTGCAAGACACTTGTGTCAAGCTATGCTTCACGTTTAAAAGCTGTTATAACTGTAAAAGGATGCTGTACTAAGTACTAAGATTGAATGTCACTTGGGGGTTGAATAAAACTGATAATGCTGTGAGCACAGAAAAGACATTTGTGGTTATTTCATTATAACTGTTATGTTATATTTGTCTGACCTACAAGTGCCTCTTTAATGTAAATGTAAGCAAGATGACTGAATGATCAAAAGCAATGTCAAACTGGCCAAAACACTCAATTTCAGTGGGGGTTGAATAATTTTGGACACAACTGTAGCTTCCCCATCTGTTCCCCTGTTAATTCATGAGACCTAAATCTGGTTCTCTGTGTTTCAGAAACCACAGATTGAGCACATTTGATGTATTTCTCGCTTTACTCCCACCCACATGGTGGTGGTTCTTGTAGCCATCACTTCTGCAAGGAGAGTGTCTGTCTGAACTGGCAGCTCTCTCCTGCAAGGAACCTATGGTGGTTCTGCATAGGGACAAGGTGTTGTTGAAGCCTACAACTTCCTTCTTCCCTTTTGGTAGTGTTTTGCCTTTCACCTCCGCCAGGTTATTTGTTCTACTGTCCCTCTGTTTGGTTCCAGTTCACCGAAAGGAATTTTCACTTCATTGTTTGGATGTGGTTCAGGGACCCCAGTCACTGCTTTTTTCAGGAAGCCTGATTTCCCTTTTTCCATCCTTCCATCCTAAATGGACTCTGTAGGGTTGCACTGGCTTCTTGTTTCCATATCCCTAGGTGGCTCAGACAGACCTTTAGCCGTGCTTGTGGTCTCAAAGATCAGGTTCCACCCTTTTCTGCCAATGCATACTCTACTAGATCTGCAAGATCTTGGTCTTTTCGGCATTGGGCACCTGTTTCTCAGATTTTCAAGGCTGCCACCTAGTCTTCTGTTTACACGTTCTCCAAGTTCTTCCAGGTGGAAGTTGCAGTTTCATCTGACGCCAGCTTTGGGTGTTAGGCCATTCAGGTGGTTCTGCTGTAGGCAAGTACCTAGTTCTCTTTTTTTGTTTTCCTGAGTTTGTTTGAAAGGTTAAAGCTGTCCTGTATCCCTCAATGGATGAGAAAGCAAACAGGACTTTTGTACTCGCTGTAAATTCCTTTTCTTGGAATCCCCTCTGTGTTTATTAGGCTCTTGGTACTTTTTTTTGCTGCAAAACTGAAGCATGCTGATAATGACAGTTGTTTTGGTCTTGTCTAGTTTTTCAGGTTTAGATTATCAGTCGATCAATGAAATATGGAGGCTGTTCAGGTTAAGGTGGCTGTCTGTTTATGGGTCTTGCCTCTGAGTGACCTTTTACAAGGGGGAAAAATCAACTTGATGAGTTAGAAAACAAGAAGATATCAGTGCTCCATTAAACATTCTAAGGTTATAAATCTATTCCTGCCTGAGGAACCAGCCTGAGGTCTCTACACAAGAACCAGACTAATACCAGAAACAGACTTAAGATTTCATCTGCTTACTTGACTGTACTTCAAATAAGCAACTGAGTTACTATTTGTTTACGTTTGCAGGGTGTTTCTGAAGCAGGCAGCTGAGCTGGTCTATGTCATGGATTCCAGGAGACTTTCTGTTGTCATTCAAGGTTACTCTTCCTTTTATACTACATTTTTTTTTATTTTAGGTAGCTATATTTTAAAGGAGTCAATGTACTTACAGTAGAAAATACAAATATGTTTGCTTAACCATTAGCCGCCCGGCCAATGGCCGTTTGGCGGCTTCAAATGTGTCTCTGCACTCCGGGTGCACGCCATTTGGTGTGCTCCCGCACATGCGCCGTTTGCGCTAATGCAGAGCGGCGCAGCAGTGCGATCTGTCACCGGCCGTGCACCTCGGACACGGCCGATGACAGATCCGAGTACCGGCTCCCGTTGCTGGTACCATGTGACCTGCTGTGACCAATCACAGCAGGTCACATGACAGTTGTATACAATGGATGGCTTCATTCATGATGCCATCCATTGTATACTAGTGCCTAGCTGTGAATGGTCACAGCTAATCACATGCACATGTCATGTGATTAGCTGTGACCAAATCACAGCTAAGCACAAAAAAAAAAAAAAAAAAAAGCTGATTGAATCGATTTTCATTCAGGTAAATGCTTGCTTATAGCAAAGTAATTCTTTGCTATAAGCAAATTGTGTTAAAAAAAAAAAAAAAAAAACTACTGATCACTTCCCAAAGTAGTACAATGTTACTAGTGAAAATAAAAATTTTTTTTTTTTAATTTTTTCATTTTACTAAACATTATGACAAAAAAAATACAACTTCAAAAAACTCGCCATGCCTCTTATGAAGTACGTCGGACTGTCTACTCTGCAAAAAGGGGTCATTTGGGGATATCTGTACTATTCTGACATTCTTGGACCTCAATAAATTAGATTGGCTGTCAGTACTTCAGGATTGATCAATATTCAGATCTATACCATAGTTTGTGAACTCTATAACTTTCCTACAAACTAAAAAATACATCCTAATTTGGGTTATTTTCACCAAAGACATGTAGCAGAATACATCTCGGCCTAAATTTATGAAGAACAATTATTTATTTGTAAACTTTTATAACAGAAACAAAGAAAAATGTGGTTTTTTTTTTTTTTTCAAAATTTTTGGTCTTTTTTTGTTAATTTAGCAAAAAATAAAAACCCCAGCGGTGATTAAATACCACCAAAAGAAAGCTCTAGTTGTGTGAAGAAAATGATAAAATTTTAGTTTGGGTACAGTGTTGTATGACCGCGCAATTGTCATTCAAAGTGTGAGAGCGCTGAAACCTGAAAAATGGCCTGGGCAGGAAGGTGTAAAATTGCACGGTATTGAAATGGTTAAACAGTTGTGAACATTGGTTGTACTCTACATGACATCCCCCACCCCCTTCCCCCCCCAACAAAAAATCTTCATCAAAGTGCACTGAGTGTGTTCTAGCAATTCCCAGCTGGAAGCCTGGGTTCACACTTATGCGGTCCAGAATTTGCCGCATTTTCTGTGCGCATTCTGTACCGCATCAGAATCGCATCCTGTTCATGCGAACTGCTGCGGGTGTTATGTTAACACCCCAAAATCGGCCCACAAAACGCGGTGTGATGAGCAGAATCAAAACACATAGATGTGAATACCTATGCGATACGTTTCTAGTGCAGACCAAAAAAAGGGTCCTGCACCTTTTTTTTGGCGCAGATGTGGTGCAATTTGAGCCATACAAAATGTATAGCTCAGATCGCACCGCACAGAATTCGCATGTGATTTGCACAGGAATATGGTGCGGTTCCTGTGCGAATCACGTGCACTATATCGCACCACATATGAGTGAACCCAGCCTAAATGATAGCCAGGAGTTGCTGTGTAAATACAGTAGCTATTCTAGCAACTGATGTCACAGAATGGGACCTTCTGGCACAGTGTTTAATACACTGTTTAAAACTGTGTGTGTTTAAAACAGAGAGATGCAAAATAACATTGTTACTTTTGTATTTACGGTTTCATTTATCTGCAGAAAGTGTGAAAGTCTATCTGCATATGACATCCGTTCCATCCTATTTAACCGCTTTGTTTACCCTTCTCAACCTTAATTAACATCTTCTTCCCCTATTCTAATTTCACAACCAGATCCCCTTTTTCATTATGTTTTAGATAAAGCTATATCCATACTCTGTAGCGTATGCTGGGTGGCCCATACAGTGTAGGTAGGACACCAGGGATCCCCATTGCTCAGCAGTACCTATTGTAGAGGGGTGCCTTGCTTGCTTAGTGTAATATAAAATCCCTTTAATTCTGTCCAGTACACAGAAATGGTTTATGTATTCTCTATAGCAGTGTTGGGGGTATATCTGGCTCAATCCTCAGTTGCATTGGGAAAACAAAAATATGGAAAAATGTGGAAATGTTCAGTATGCTGACAGAATCGAATTCTGTTGGTATTTTCAGGAAAACATGTTTAAAATGTGTCAATCAACTTTTTTTTTTTTTTTGAGTGACTAAATTAGTAGTAGAATATAGTATTTTTTTGCTTGTGTTATCTACACCTTTTGTTTGGCATTGTCAGGCTAGCATTTTGCTGCTCTGTGACCCCAACTGAAAGCTAGAGAAAGACGTATAAAGATCTAGAAATACTGTCCCACTTTACTTGGGTAGTAATTTCCTCCCATATTTGCACCAGCTGAGCCTAGCAGCAATAAGAGTAGGTTATTGTCAGCACAATTCTTGCACATTAACAAAATGTCACCTTGAAATCTACTGGTGGAATGGATATATGATGCTTCATGCTTGTGTTTGTATTTCTAGGAGCAATGTATGCAGACATGCAGGTTGGAAGATCAGGCATTTTTCCTATGCTAAAATCACCTTTGTGTAATGGAACATGCATGCATGACAGCGTGTCACTTGCGTAAACTCTGCAGGTGCCATTCTCTAAAATAGACAAGGACAGGGTGATATTTAAACCTATACAGAGCTGATGAGTCTTGGCAGCTGAACTTTGCGAGAGCACTTAGGGCTTGTCAAAATGCCCATTAGACTATGTCCCAAATTACCATTAGCTTTTATTTTTTTACTCGTGAGAATTGCAGTACTTCTAAAATCAGATGCCTAAACCTTGTAATCTAAAATGGTGGCATGTAGTGTTGAATAAGGGAACAGGAGCACCAAAGAATTATAATACGATTTAAATATTGTACAAGAATACTAATGGGCTTGTTTAATAATGAGCATAATGAAGTAGATGATAAATCCAGTCTATAAAAAAAATAAAACCCGCTCAAGTGTTTAAAAGGACATAGTGAAGGAACTTGACTGGAAGCAGAAAGGCTTATGGACTAGGAAGATTATTGGTTGGTCAATTTATATGGTGCCAAAGATGTACTCATGGCTTTGCAGCCCTCTTCATATAGGGGAAGGCTTAGATTCTAGACATAAACAATCAAACAAAACAACAAGAAGTCGTCTTGGATTCTAGACTAAAAAAAAATCAAACAAAACAACAAGAAGGGGGTTCCAGCTTAGGGCATTGATTCAAACACTTTATTAATGAAAAGTAGAAATGTATGTTCACAAACCTAAATTAATCCTAGCACTGGGGCTCTAGGTGCCTCCAAGGTCTGGATAACCAATATAGAAGACATTTTCAATACTATACTGCACAATGCAAGTATGCAAATAACACGTGTCAAGGGATATACCCCCTAATCAGAGGTCAATCCAAATAGATCAGTCGAGTTTTTTGAAAAGGGCACTGCACTTTTGTTTATTGTCCTGTGCCTTACTGAAGAAGTCCATAAATGAAACGCCGCAAATAAATGTTGCTTTACCAATGAAATATGTCATCACTTCACTTTTTTTGGAAGCTAGGGTTAACCATATTTAACTGAATAAGGAAAGGGAACTATTTCAGATAAATTAGAAAAGGGAAGTAGGCAAGGGTTGCTTCTTGTATTTTGCTCATCTAAGGCCATTTTAAAAAGTTGTCCTATAAACTGAAGATGCTAGAATGAAGTGGCTAGTGTTTGCTATGGGTGGAATTCAGCTCTGTATGTAGGATACACAGGGATTTCCCTCTCCTCCACAGCAATACAGTGTGTGACTCATTCCATTCCTTGCCAAGTCAACTGATCGGCAAGGATCGTACAGCTGTTGAGTCAGAAAATTACTATTTTGGAGAAACTGTTTTGCATCCGCAGCCAAATCATTACATTCCAGCTCCTCTTACTGTAGGGCTGTCCTATCCCCTAAATATGACTAGATCTTACTGTGTAAAAGATTAAAAACATAGGTTCAGTGATTCATTTTCATTTTATTTTTTTTTGGCGAGTACCTGTAGTTATTTAAAACTATCTTTATAGTGATTCATTATGTTCCACCCTTTTTATATAATTCTGTGTTGTACATGTAGCGCTAAGGATTTCATATCTGCTGATATCTAAATTAAAGTCATTAGTTTGTTCTGTGTAATGCTGACTCCTCCAGCTTGATAAATTGAAGAAGCCCGGGGAAATAATCAGCTGAATAGTGGCTGCATCCAATATGATGTAGCCACTGTTTGGGTAGTCTGATAGCCGCTGGTGTTTGCTGTCAGATTACAGTAGCTGCACTGTAGATTCACCCATCCACACATATATCATAGATGGAGGAATCAATTAAATATCTTAATTCAGTCTGCAGGTAAAAAAAAAAAAATAGTATTTGACTGGAATGGCCATACACCACTAACTATATCTATATCTGCTCCCACCCCCATTTTTAGTCTATTCTAACTATCCTCTAAAGAAAAGATGCGTATACTTACCTTGCTGAGGGCACACTGGTCCAGTCACATTGGCTCCCAGCTCTGACTTCAATGTAGAGGAGGGACAGCTGACATAATAATAATAAGCCTATGGGTGACATCATCTCCCAGGCTCTAAAGCCATTGTCGGCGATCTCTCCTCTACACTGCAGCCATCCACTTCAGTGACCAGACTAGAGCGCCTTTAGCATAGGTAAGGGTAGACATCTTTCCTTTACAGGGTACTTCTAATAGGCTTAGAATCGGGGTGGGAGCAGGTTTAGGTATAGTTAGTGTTTGAATAGAATGCTACTTTAATGTACTTTTCCCTTTTTAAATTTGTATAGCTAAAATGTTTTACACTGTGCCAAACAGAGCAATATAAAACCTGTTTCCTGGCCATGCGTTATCCATGGCTGATGTAGTGATGGGATTTGTGTGTGTTTCAGAAGAGGAAGGTCGGGACCTCAGTTGCCTGGTGGCCTCTCTAGTCCAGCTGATGTCAGACCCGTATTTCCGGACCACTGTTGGATTTCAGAGTCTCATACAGAAAGAGTGGGTCATGGCTGGGTATCCATTCCTTGATAGGTGCAACCACTTGAAAAGATCTGACAAAGAGGTACAGTACAATAACTACTATGTAGATTTTACTTTTCTTCAATAGGGACAGTTATTAAATATTTGGTTTGGCTCTGCCTATTACAATGAGCTGCTGTTATCACTTCTAGCAGCTTTTACTTTTCTTCATAGGGACAGTTTAGGGATTAAATATTTGGTTTGGCTCTGCCTATTACAATGAGCTGCTGTTATCACTTCTAGCAGAAGAACTAGTTGTTGATGAAGAGATAAGCATAATATTAATTATTTTACTCAGCTCCTTCTATTTATTGTGGTTATGGACAAGAGAATCTGGAAGGGCAATATGCCCAAGAGACACCTAGCTGCTTGCCATATCACCTTTAAAAGAAGATGCTATGCAGATTGCAGATTGTTCACTTTTGTAATTGTTTAGTTTCACAACAATAAGAACACTGTTATTGCCATAACATTCAGATTGTATGTATGTATGTATGTCTGTGATAATTCTGTTACAAAGCAACTTCTCAAAATGCTTCAGTTTTACCCATTCTAGGAAACTTCAAGTTTTCTGATTATATGAAATGTCAGCGTTTGGTCATGGACATATTTCTATTGCTGTTTATGCTGTACAGTATGTGTAAAAAGTCTTGATGGTTACAATATTCAGTAAGAGTTTTGTATTCATTCTAAAAATGCCAGTAATGGCACAATTTTTTTTTACCCATTCTCATTTGTTTTCTCGTTGTGGGGATAGTGTTCTGTGGGAATCGAAACAAATTAGAACTGTTTTGTGCCCATGGCTAAACTCTATGTTTGGAGGAGTAAGAACATGGCCTCAAGTAGTCTTTGTGTTAAAGTGATTGTAAAGCAAGGATTTTTGTTTTTTTTAATAAATACTTACCTACTCAGCCCAGATCCTGCTCTTTTCACTGCCTGCTATGCATGCTCGATCCCGAGCCACGCTTTGTGTGTCCATTGACAACCCCCCTGCTCCCTCCTCACAGTTCATGAGATTGACAGCATCAGGAGCCAATGGCTCCTTCTACTGCCTTTATGGCCAGTTAGAAGAGAGAGAATGGAGAAAGACGTTGCTTTCATGAACAGTGCTGGATCGAGATCAGGCTCAGGTAAGTATAAGGGGGTCTGGGGGGAGCTGCACACTGAAAAATTTTTATCTTAACTAGTTTGGCTCCAGAATATTTTTTTTTTATTTAATGCATTTCGCATACATGTAAAAGTCTCAATTTTTGGCAGTAAAAATTACTTAAACCCTCAGAATAGTATAGAAGCCCTGTAGAATAAAAAAGTGATAGTTGCGAATTTTTATGTCACATGATATTTGTGCAGCTGTTTATTGAATGCAAATTTTCAGGAAAAAATAAAATTAACTTTGGTGCAAAAACGCACAATAGAATACCAATTTTTGGTTAAAATATAAAATATGAGGCTGCATCAAGTAAATAGATACCAAACATTCCATGTCTTACAATTGTGCATGCCCAAGATATCACTAAAAACTATGCCGGCCAAATAACACCATAGGTGACACTTAAAAATGTGTACAGCTCATCAGTTTAGAGTTAACTAGGAGCTCTTGTGCTGAAACTATTGTTCTTACTCTGACGATTGCGGCGATATGTCACACGTGTGGTGTGGCCGCAGTTTACATACACGTGCACACTCTTGGCGTGTGTACAGGTGGGCAGGGCAATGGGGGTTACGGCAATTTTTTTTATTTTTACTTGACTGCTATCACAATTGAATCATAAACCCGAATGTGATAGCATTCGGCAGGTGATAGGTACTCTTATAGACCCCAATGTCTCTGCTGCCTTTCACACCATCTATCCTAGCACAGTTTGCATGTGAGATCGAGGCATAGATTTGCTCTGCCTCCCGGCAGTTGTGTTCCCCTAGCTTTGGTAGGAGCGGACATCCTAGGAACCATGGGAGGAGTGGAAGCACTGCGCTTCCGGCTCTGTGAAAGTGATCGGCAGCTTTGGAGCTTTCACTTTCAAGCTGGCAGCCAGCTGAACAAAAAACACACAAACTAGTCAGCTTTGTAGGTATATAAAATGTGTGCATCATAGATTTAATTAAGCTTGTGATAAATTGATGGCGCTATATAAGTACCTGAAATAAATAATAAATAAAGGTTCACTCTTTGGACACATGTAGTACTTCCAAAGAACTGAACAGGTTAATGCAGAGAATGTATTAAGGTTAAAAAAAAAAAAAAAAACCTTCTGCCTTTAGAATAGTATAGAGATGGTCCTGCACTACCTCCCTACCTGCAATGACCCCTACAAAAAAGTGGCCGCAAACACCCAATTATATTCCAAAATAGTGAAAACAAATAAAGGAGTGAAAGGGTTCTGCGCTACTTAGTGAACAAACAAAATTATAAACAGAAAATATGCTGAATACAGATATGCCCTACATCCAAGTGTAAACATAACATATCCAAAACACATGTGAATGGGTGCAAAAAATTGACAAATGACAACAGCAGAACAAAATGCTATAATGTGCTGGTGACAGAGGTGAATATATCAACAATGATGTGTATAGTGTAATAAAAGTGAAAAAAAAAACTGCAGGGAAGGTGTATGGGATCAGGAGTACCAAGATGGCGGATGCCTTCCGTACCGGATAGGACGTCACCACGCTTCCGTCCTACGCATTACGTCACAGGTCACGTGACTCCAACCTTGTGGACAGCCTTCCCAGAAGAGTTGAAGCTGTTATAGCTGCAAAGGGTGGACCAACTCAATATTGAACCCTACAGACTAAGACTGGGATGTCATTAAAGTTCATGTGCTTGTAAAGGCAGGCGTCCCAATACTTCTGGCAGTATAGTGTATATATACTCAGTATATTTGTTGTTTAGAAAAGTACAACAGTTGCATACATCTGTGGAAGAGCATTCACTCTCTAGTAAAAAGGGTATTTGTGTAGATGTATTTGAAAGTTGTTCATCACTGCAGGAGACTGAAAACTGCAAGTCTGAACACACACAGTACACAATTACCCCCATTGAGGTGTCATGCACACAGGACTTTTTTTTAACTCTCCTAGAAGCCAGCAGTGTTTTTGCAGGAAAAAAAACTCCTGCTTGTAAAAGTGTCTAGCACTACAAGCGTTTAAGTGCAGTTACAGACATCAAGTGCTTGGGTGTTCATTTCATTGGCCAGGACAAATAAGTTATTTTGGCCATTGAAATAAATTAATGCTGATCTGCTAAACGCGCCTAGCGTTTAGGCACGTTTACATGTGTGTAAGCACCAAGCATTTTTCACCCAAAATGTCGCTGCTCCTGGATGCCCTGGCAGTGGGTTTTATTTTCTGCCACTAAACTCTCCTGCAACAATACGCTGCAAAAATCCTATGTGTGCATGGACACATAGGATAACATGTAGGGGAGTTTAGAGGCAGTAAGAAAAAAAAAAAAACACTTGCCACCCCTAGCAGTAGTGTCAAAAATGACCAATGTGCATAAGGCCTTAATGTAACGTTTTCTGTGCAGATGGCTTAGCAGGCATTAGACATGACATTAAAACTGAATGAAAACTGATGATCCCAGTAGAGCAATTGGTGACAAAGTATACTTCTATTTTCACACTTCTGTTGTCTAACTATCAGTTGTATTTTACAAGGGCACATATTCTTCAAGGCCAGTGTGTGGTGTCCATATGTTCCTGGTTGGTGTGGCTGGTTGAAGAAAGCCTTGACCTGTATACAGTGCTTTAGTGTATGCTTTTGCTTGGTGTGATTAGTTGAAGGAAGTCCCCACCTGTAAATAGTGCTTTAGTGTATGTTTTTGCTTGGTGTGACTGATTAAAGAAAACCTAGACCTGGAACTACATCACATGTTCCTGCTTCATCTGACTGGTCGGAGGAAGTGTAGACTGAATACAGTGCTTCAATGTATGTTTTCCTTGTGACTGGTTTAAGGAAGTCCAAACGGATATATAGTGCTTTAATGTATGTTTCTGCTTTGACTGGTTGAAGGATGTCTAGAAGTGTATATATTCCCTCTTTGAACATTCCTGGTTGGTAGGACTGATTAAAAGAATTCTAGACATGTGAACAGTACTTCAATATGTAAAAACAACACATAGCAGCGCTAAATAACTAAATAAAAAAAGTGAAAAAACCTCATAACATATTAAATATATAAATCCACATAATTAGTGAAAACAATTGGATAATAAAGTGTACTCATTATAAATAGTAACACGTGATGTGAATCAAAAACTCAAAATGTTCATAAAGCAAGCAAAAAGTGTCCAATAGCCAATCCTTAAAAGTGATGGCAAGCCATATAGGGTGTGATATCTTCCACCACTTCAGGATATCCGGCCACCAGATGTGCAGACACACAGACGCCTCTTACTGTATTTGGTGGACCATTAAATCAAAAATGGTCAAATGCACTCATCGTTCAATCCCAGAAGTGATTCCACCAGGGATAGAGGCAGTTGTATCGGCATCAGTATAGAGAAAACCATGGGATCAAAAACACTTCCATAGCAAAGTAAGCATTAAAGGGCAAAATCCATTTATTGTTAAAAAGAAGGTAATCACCACCTCACAAAATAAAACTTTTCCAGCAATTTTAAAGGTTAGCAGGCTGATCGCTTGATACAACGCCTACAAGTACAGGCGTTTAATACGTGATGATGTCATGCATAAGCCACTCCCGACATGTTTCGTCTAACAGACGTCTTCTGGGGACCAGCTGCACTGGAATTTCAGCTGGTATCATGGTTGTTTAGCAGCTGCTTAGAAATTCTTTTGTCCTAGCACAGATATTATTACTTTATAGTACTTCAATATGTATTCATACTTTGACTGGTTGAAGGAAGTCTAGAACTGTATACTTTGCTTTAATATATGTCCTTGGTTGGTGTAAATGGTTGAAGAACTGTATACACACCCAGATATCCTTCAACCATTTACACCAACCAAGGACATATATTGAAGCAAAGTATACAGTTCGAGACTTCCTTCAACCAGTCACTGCAGGAACATACACTGCACTATTCTCTACACGTGTACATTGTCTCCAACTAGTCACACAAACCAGGGATATGAACTAAAGCACAGTGTACAGGTCAAGAGGTCCTTCAACTAGTTATATCAACCTGGAATCTACACTGAAGAACTGTATACACACCCAGATATCCTTCAGTGTAGATTCCAGGTTAAAGTAACTAGTTGAAGGACCTCTCGACCTGTACACTGTGCTTTAGTTCATATCCCTGGTTTGTGTGACTAGTTGAAGACAATGTACACGTGTAGAGAATAGTCCAGTGTATGTTCCTGCACTGACTGGTTGAAGGAAGTCTTGAACTGTAAACTCTGATTCATTGCTGTTCATGGTTGGTGTGACTGGTTGAAGAACGTCTAGACATGTATACATAAAATGGCTGGGTTTCTGATTGGGGGGGGGGGGGAGACTGATCATATGGAATAACTATGGTAACAGTGAACATTTCACTGCATTGTTAGATGCAAAACAGATCAGTGTGGTGATTGTCAAACATCTGTTTTTCTTCCTCAGTGTCCCCTGTTTGTGCTATTCCTGGACTGTGTTTGGCAGATGCAAGCGCAATACCCAGCAGCTTTCCAGTTTACAGAGACCTATTTAACTGTGTTACATGACAGCACATGCATCTCACTCTTTGGAACATTTCTCTTCAACTGTCCTCACCAGCGTGTTCAGCAAAGTACAGTGAGTACATTTCCGTTACTGCCGTACAAAGCATTTCTACACACAGCTGTTAGGCTTACCTTTTATCTGTGACCTCTGAAGTGGTTATAACCTGCTCTGAGGAACATGTAGGCTGCCTCCTGCTGATCCTCCTCTACTACCGTAATGCTTCTTATCTAGCTTCTAGCAGTTAGAGGAACAAAGCATTTAACACTAAGAGGGGTGCTTGCTCAGCTTTTGTTTATGGAAAACCTTTATCCCAAAAGTAACAAAACTGTTGTAATTGCTTATAAAGAGTTAGCTGGAGTTTTGCTTCAATTTGTTTAGTGTATCTAAATCTGCTAGTACAGCTAACACTACCCTCCCCCCAAATAGACAATGCTGCTGGCCAAAGATGTCTGTTGCTCCTACATCCACAGTGTAGGAACTCTAATACAGAAACTGGACAGATCACCAGGTGAAAACGGAGTGTATATAACTTAACCACCTCCGACCCGACATATAGTCCAATGACGGGCGCAAGGTGGTTCTCTCATTCTGGGAGGACGTCATATGACATCCTCCCATTCTCACTGCGCACGCGCGGGCTCAGGGACCGCGCAGCGCGACGATCGGCGGTGTGCTGTGTCCCTCGGACACAGCGGATCACCGATCTACGGAAAGAGCCGAAGATGTCGGCTCGGTCATGTGATCAGCTGTGTCCAATCACAGCTGATCACATGTAAACAGGGAAATGCCGGTTATCGGTATTTCTCTCCTCACGAGCTGTCACGTTGATGGCTCGAGAGGAGAGCTGGTAATCGGCATTTCCGCAGAGGGGACATCTACACTGATCATCAGGGCACTGATGATCAGTGTGCCCTGGTGATCAGTGTGGCCCCAGAAGTGCCACCTGTCAGTGTCCATCAGTGCTGAACAGTGCCACGTGCCAGTGCCAAATCAATGCCACATATCAGTGCCTACCAGTGCACATCAATGCCACATATCAGTGCCCATATGAGCTGCCTTTCAGTGTCACCCATCAGTGCCAGTCAGTGCTACTTAACAATGCCAATCAGTGCCACCTAACAGTGCCAGTCAGTGCCGCCTATCAATGCCATATATCAGTGCTGATTTTCCGTGCCCATCAGTGATGCCTGTCAATGCCCATCAGTGTCTCCTCATCAGTGCCCATCAGTGCAGCCTATCAGTGCTCATCACTGCAGCCTCATTAGCGCACATCAATGAAGGAGAAAAATCACTTATTTACAAAATTTTACAACAAAAACTAAGAAAAAACTTTTTTTTTTCAAAATTTTCTGCGGTTTTTGGTTTAAGAAAAAAATAAAAAACCTTGAGGTGATTAAATACCACTATAATAAAGCTCTATCTGTCACAAAAAAAGTTATAAAAATTTCATATCGGTACAGTGTTGCATGACCACGCAATTGTCATTCAAAGTGTGACAGCGCTGAAAGCTGGAAATTGGGCTGGGCAGGAAGGGGGTATAAGTGCTCTGTAGGCAAGTGGTTAAAAAGAAGAAAATGAATGCAACCATCACATCTAATGATTGGTGAACTGCATTGTATTACATTTTTGGTTTTGGATGTAATACCGTTTTAGGTGTTTAAGACATGTAGCCAAGTACCTAGCATATTCATAAAGAGGACAATGTTTGCAGCTTACTTATCTCTGTCCGTGAAGTGTATAGCTGTATAAGTGCATTTGTAATTTTAGATTGATCATAAAGCACACAGTGGCCTCCCCCAACTTTAAAGATAACCATCAGTGCTGCATAATAGCATTTAAAAAACACGAACCTAGAATGCACCATGCTTTGCATGTCAAAGTTTTTCGGATTTGTATTCATTTTTTTCTGCACAATTTCTTTTCTAGGAGTTTGCTATAGGGAAAAATATTCAGCTGGGGGATGAAAAAGGCCTGAAATTCCCCTCTGTGTGGAACTGGTCTCTGCAGTTTTCAGCAAAGGATCGCACTCTGTTCAATAATCCTTTGTACATTGGAAAGAGCGTGCCCAACGTTCAGAATGGAAATACTAAGTTTTTTAAAAGGACAAAGGTAAACTGACCACATGAAATGAATGTAACATTATCTATTGTTTAAAGTAACAAAAAGAAAAGGGTTGCTGTTGTGGGTTTTAATAATTTTAGGGGTTTTTCCACTTAAGTGGGAAGCACCTTTTAATGGGCAAGTAATACTTAGGCTGGCCATACATTATACAGTTTTCTTGAGATTTTTTCTTTAGTTTTACCAAAAACTATATAAATTAGGAGGTCAAACCCAAACAACACTTTCATTTGTATCCAATTAGGCAGGCCCTTGCACTACACAGTTAAAGGTAAATCTAAAGGAAATTGGGCAGAAATTGGACAGAAAATTGTATAGTCTATGGCCATCCTTAGTTTTGGTATCCCATCCTTGTAGCTCAGCTATCTGAAACCAGCCCATGTCTACCACTGGACATTGTTCTTTTTAATACCTCTAAGGTTTTGGTTTTTGTCTTTTTAAATGAAAGAATAAATCCAGGTACAGTGCTCAGCATAAATGGGTACACCTCAACAGATTTGAAAGAAAACTTTTACTTTCCTTTCAGAATGAACATTTTCTATGGGACACTAAACTACAAAATACTCTCACAAATGCGGGCCATTGATTGCAAACAAGATTTGTTAATTTGCACACACAAAAAAGTATTTTTCCTAACAAATTCATTCAAGACCATGTTGCAAAAATGAATACACCCCAATGAAAGTCTTAGGAGCAAAACTAAATTTTAGACAAAATCCTAATTAACAAAAATTCAACTACAGGTGAGTCTAATTATTCATTAAACAGGTATCCAGCAGACAGTTGATTATAAAAGGACATTTCTGAACAAAGATAACCCCTTCCCATTTCATGCTGACAACAATGGCACCACATGGAAGAGAAATATCACAAGGCCTGAAAAAGAAAATAATTTCTTTACACAAGAAAGGTGAAGGCTATAATAAGGTCAGCAAAGCTTTACTTCTCAGTCAGAATAATGTAGCAAAAGTGATACAAAAATTTAACAAAGATGGAACTACAGCCATCTCACAGAGACATCCAGGCCATCCAAGGAAGTGAACACCCCGACAGAAGGGTTGAAGAAAATTGCCATGCAAGTTCACTGTAGTTAGCTAAAGAAATGGAAAGCAAAACTGGGGTTATTGTTTCCCATGACACAATACAGCATACACTGCAGAGGAATAGCATGCATGGGTGTCATCCACAAAGGAAGCCTCTCCTAAAGCCCATGAACAAAAAAGCTCTCAAAGAATTTGCCAGAGCCCATGCTGAAAAAAAAGACTACTGGTACTCTGTACTCTGGAGTGATGAGACCAAGACAAATGTTTTTGGAACTGATGGCTTCAAAACTGTATGGCATCACAAAGGTGAGGAGTACAAAGAAAACTGCATGGTGCCTACAGTGAAACTTGGTGGTGGCAGTGTCCTTCTGTGGGGCTGCATGAGTGCTGCTCGTGTTTGGGGAGCTGCATTTCATTGATGGTATCATGAATTCACAGATGTACTGCTCTATACTGAAAGAAAAGATGCTACCATCACTCCGTGTCCTTGGTCATCATGCACTTTTCCAACATAATATTGATCCAAAGCACACATCTAAGGCCACTGTTGCATTTCTGAAGAAGAACAGGGTGAAAGTGATCCAGTGGCCAAGTATGCCTCCTGAGCTGAACCCAATCAAACACCTATGGGGAATTCTGAAGAGACAAGTGGAACATCACTCTCCATCCAGCATCCAGGCTCCAAAATAGGTCGTTCTTGAAGAATGGAAACAGATCGATGTTGCAATGTGTCGCCAACTTGTTCCTTCCATGTCTAGAAGACTTGGTGCTGTCCTTACAAATCATGGCGGTCATACAAAATACTAGATGTAGTAGTTTTTGTTGTGGGGTGTATTCATTTTTTGCATCAGCTAATATTAGTAAAACTGAAGATTTTGTATGCTAAGTTGTATTATTAACTTTACTTTCATGTAATCCGCTAAACAAATGTTCTATAAAAATGTCAAAATTTTGGAAATTGTTCTTGTGTTCAATGAGACATTGATTAAAATCTTACTTTTCAAAAGGGGTGTACTCGTTTATGCTGAGCACTGTATGTAATTTTTTACATAATTTATATTGGTCCAGCTTGGACCTAAGTAACAATGCATGTACCATATGTTTTGAGGTCCATCTAGAAGCTGGAAAACACTGCGGTAGATACTGCTCCTCCAGTGATATTCACTACCTTCCAGGTCCTGTGGCATTCTGAAAACAGGAAGTCAGCCACTTAGCACTCGTGCTTTGCATTCTCCTAATGAATGCAAAGCGTTCCCTGATTGGACAGAATGGAGAGCGTGATATCACCACCCTGCATATCCTTCTTGTCCAATGCACTCATTGAGAAAAGCAGTTTCTGGTGCCTGTGCTGAGCGGCCAAATTCCAGTGTTCAAAATGCAGCAGGGCAACCAATGGCACAGGACCCAGAAACAAGTGATGATCATTGGAGTAGCATTGCCTACTACCGTGACTTCCAGCTTCTAGAGGGATCCCCCAGGTATGGCATATGCATAGCAACATTGATACAAGCTGAACCAATGTAACGATTCCATACTTGGAATTTTTTATCACACATTTTACTATTATTTTCAGAAGTAGACCGCAACAGCAGGCTGCATATGAGTGCATTCCATGCAGAGTGCAGAGTTGTGTACAGAGTTGTGCTTTGTACAGTGTGCATTGTGTAAAAAGTTCAGGGTTCAGGAGTGACTCAAAGCCCCCCCCAAATCACCCATCCTTCCCCGGTAGTACAAAAATCTCCCCCACAAATTCCCCCCATAGAGGGGAGCAGCTACAACTTACAATGTGTCCAGAGCGCAGGAAGCTGCCACCGCCAGACTAAAGCAGCTGGGTATATCCCCGATCCCTCCTCTGCTCTCAGAGATGTGCGGTGTGGCTTCTGTGCCAGCTGACAGGAGAGCTGGGCTCCCAGCTTGAAGCACAGAGCCAGCCGAAGATGATTCCTCTTAGTATGGGAATATAGAATGTACTTTTGTCCATTTTATTGTTTTGTTGTATTGTTTAAAAGTAATTATTGAAAAAAAAGCTGATTATCTAGATAATTCTAGAAAGGGCTAGTGTACTCCTCTTGTTAAGACAAAGCACATTTTCTTGGAATGCTCATATGTAGCCAGCAGCTGATCACTTTTGTCTTCATTGTTCCATTTCCATCATCTAATTCTAGTATCACTTTTCCTAACTCCTATCAAAATGCATAATACAAAGCTTTACCAAACTGTGTTTTCTTTTTTGTAGCACTGGGGAACCCAGACAACACGAAGTGTTCCAGAACAGTCCCATCTGAGTGTCAAACCAAATGTAAGTATCATACTATAGCTACAGTAGCACAGCCATGCAGAGTCTCATTTATGTTTTACCTGTTGCCGTAAACTGAATCCCTAGGGAGGTATAACAAGCAATTCTGACTGTCACATTGTGGGAGATTTGCTAAAACTGGTATATACAAATGTGGTGCAGCTGAGCATAACCTATCAGCATCTACGTTCTATTGTCAAAGCATAATACAACAAGCTGAAGTTAGGAGCTGATTGGTTACTATGCACAGCTGCACCAGTTTTGCTACATTTCCCCCACAGTGTACATAAAGGAGGACCAATTTCTTCCTTTTTTTTTTTTTTTTTCCATCTTTAAAGCAGAGCTATAGTTAAAACTTTTATCTCATTTTGGATAGGGTTATAACCCCTGTACGGTTTATGTTTGCCGTCTTTGTCCCATTGGGAAGATTCCCCTTCACTTCCTGTCCCATAGCCAAACAGGACGTGAGAGGAAATCTTTGCACATTAATGGAATCTCTTGGGGACCCCCAGGTCACCAGAATTAGTGTCCCCATTGGAAGATTTCTCCTTTATTACCTTTCTGGGGACAACCCAAATTTTGTGATCTTTTCTTTAACTTTCACTTTCAAAGATAATGGTAAACAGGGCAAATAGGATGAATCTCACTAATGGAGACACAGACAGTAATAAAAACTGACAGGTGTTCTAATCCCTTTCTCTTCAAATCAAAAAAAAAAAAAAAATTACCTTTTAGTTATATTTTAACTTTTGGGTTACATTGATGCCTACAGGGGAAAAATACCCACTGCTGTAGCTTTGTTTCTGACTCTGTTCTGGTAAAAGGTTTCTGCAGATTGCTTTCCAGGTCCAGAGGCCCTGGCATTGCCTCAGCATTTGCCAGTCAGGCCAAGCACCTTATACCTGTTTTATGCCAGTTTTTACTGTGGAAGGGGCTAATGCTGTGTGATGATGTCACTGGATGAAGTTGCAGATGCTCCCTTTCTGGGTCAGGGTTTTTTTTTTTTTTTTCCAGTGAGCACCAGGTTGTCACTGGCTTTGTGGCTCAGGAATCTGGCTTTGGAGTTGGAAGTCCTCTTTTCCCATATTTTGGGGGGATTCCCACGGGATATGTCAGACTGGGGGGAGGGTCGTCTTGGACACTTTGTCTGTGCAGGGAACCTTGGTAGTCATTGGAGGCTTGCCTCCCAATTTAACATACTGGAGCTTTGGATGATTTTGGCAGTCTTTCTTTGATCCTGTGAAGCAGTGGGATGGTCCAATGCTGCAAGTGGATAGCATTTTGGTGATCCTCATTGCTCTAGACTGCCCAGCCCAATGTGGTACACTAACTTGGTAAGACTCTTGGCAGATGCTTTGTGTGGACTGTCGGATTGTGAGGATCTTCTGTTCCAAGGCCTGATTTTCCATATTGCTTCAAGGTTTCTGGTTTTAACAGCATGGCTAGTGAAGCTTAGCTTGTGAAGGACAGGGCCATCTAATAGTCTGATACCTGCAATGCTAAAAGCTGGGAAGTCTACTTTCTGCAAGGTCTATCATGAGGCATAGAAGCATATCTAACTTGGTGTTGTGTTTTCTGAGCTTTTCCCCTCCATGGGATGAATCCTCTCTTTATGCAACTGGGTCTGGACCAGCATCTGGCTCAGCAATAACAAGGGTCAGGTTTCTGCAATTCCTTTTCCATTTATAAGGGTCTTTGGTCTTGCACTCTTCAAGACCTTTTGAACAAGGAATCTGTCATAGATTTCCCCCTGTCCAATCCCCTGTATATCAGTGGGATCTGAATCTGGTTCTCACTGCACTTTATAAACTGCTGTTTGAGCCCATTAGAAAATGCCCTACTCTATCACCTCCATGAGGCAAGTTTCTGAACTGTAGTGGCCTTATCCAGTATATGAAATCCTGTCTGGTTTGATATAGTTACAAGCTGGTGTTGAGGCTCAGGACTTCCTTCTTGACCAAGGTAGGTTTTGTCTTTCACTTCAACCATGGCATTGTCCCTCCGTTTGGTTTCTGTTCACCAAAATGAAAAAAATTCCCTTCACTGTATGAGGGTGCACTCACACTTGCACTTTTAACCTAACCCCTGGCACTGTTCACGCACCTTGGGCTGGTTTGTTTGCATAGTGCGAGTGCTCCAAACAGTGTTCAAGATCAGGTCAGAGTGCTGCACCTGGGACCACTTGTAAGCGGTGGTTCACTTGTAGCCCAGAGTGGTTTGGTTGACTGTAAATGCAAATCGTGCCAGACCACAGAAGTCTCCATAGAAATATATGCACTGAGGCAGGGGTTACTGCGGGCTGGTTCCTAGGCACACTTCCTTATAGTCCAGTGTGAGTGCACACCAGTGAGGGAGAATTGATCTTAGGCAGAGTTCATTAGTCTGAAATCCCAGTGTATGTCCATCATAATGTGTCTTGGGCTGTGAAAGTCTCTCTCAGCCATTGATCCCTTTTTTTGATTTCTTGGATGGAACCCCTAAGGGTGCAGGAGCTTCTTGTTCCATCATCTCTCTATGTAGCTCAGGTGGATCATTATCTAAGCCTATGGTCTACACCCTTTCCTGTTGAGGTGCACACCACTAGGTCTATGGGTGTTTCTTTAGCTTTTCAGCATCAGGCAATGGTTTCTGAGATTTGCATGGCTGCCATGGTCTTCTGCTCACAGGTTTTCTAAGTTCTATCTGTGATGAACAAGGTGCCCAAACCCCTGCCCTTCTCACCAACACGTCAAACGACTGGCCAATCTCACACTGTGCTGTCACTTGCATAACAATGCCACTCTCTACTGCACCACGCACAGATTTTCCAGCTCGTGGAACCACAATCTAGGTGCTGCAGCCTTAGAGCGATTGTCACTGGGTTATGTTAACTAAGCAATTAACTCTTTAAGCTACCACCGCTGCCTTTTGACTGAGGAGGAAACTCATAATCTTATCAATAAAAATTATGATTTTAGTATAAATATCTGCAACATGTACTGTCACTACAGACAGGTATGTTCAGAAAATTTGTAATACAGTAGCACTCTTCAAGAGTTAGGGATTCTTTAGTTTGCATTAAAAGCCTTAGGGACAGTTTTAACACTTTTTCAAAATAGTTTAACTTGTTGCCGACCGCAGATAGCCGAATGACGGCTGCACTGCGGCCGGCCAGTTCTGAGTGGACGTCATATGACGTCCTCCCAGAACGCGCTCTCCTGCGCGCCCCAGGGGGCGCGCACCCGGCGATCTCCGTGATCGCTGTGTCCTACGGACACAGCTGATCACGTGATGTGGTAAAAGGCCAATCACAGTGGCCTTTTACCACGTGATCAGCGGTGTCCAATGACACGCTGATCAGAGGGAAATGCAAGTGCCGGTTCTCGGCTGCACTTTCCTCACGCTGTCAGATCGTGAGGAAAGTACTGCCGAGAACCGGCAGTTGTCAGAGCGAGAATCGGCACCGATCATCAGGGCACTGATGATCAGTGCCCTGATGATCGGTGCCCAGCAGTGGCACCCGCAAGTTCCGCCCACCTGTGCCCAGCAGTGCGCCCACTAGCTCTGCCCACCTGTGCCCAGCAGTGCACCCACCTGTGCCACTCTGCAGTGCCACCCACCTGTGCCCAGAAGTGCCACCCACCTGTGCCCACCCACCTGTGCCCACCAGTGCCACCCACCTGTGCCCACCCACCAGTGCAGCCCAGCAGTGCCACCAGTCAGTGCCACCAGTCAGTGCCACCAGTCAGTGTCAGCGGTTGTGCCAGTCAGTACCGCCAGTCAGTGCCCAGCAGTGATGCCAGTCAGTGCCGTCTATCAGTACCCATCATCAGTGTCACCTATCAGTGCCGCCTATCAGTGCTGCATATTAGTGCCGCCTATCCGTGACACCTCATTAGTGCTGTCTATCAGTGCCGCCTATCCGTGCCACCTCATTAGTACTGCCTATCAGTGCCCTTTAGTGCTGCCTATCAGTGCTGCCTCATCAACGCACATCAGTGAAGGAGAAAAATTACCTGTTTGAAAAATTTTATAATAGAAACAAAGAAACTTTTTTTTTTTTTCAAATTTTTTGCACTTTTTTTATTTATAGTGCAAAAAGTAAAGCGCCCAGTGGTGATTAAATACCACCAAAAGAAAGCTCTATTTGTGAGAAAAAAAATGATCAAAATTTCATATGGATACAATGTTGCATGACCGCGCAATTGTCAATCAAAGTGCGGCAGCGCTGAAAGCTGAAAATTGGCCTGGTAAATAAGGGGGTATAAGTGCCTGATAGGCAAGTGGTTAAAAATGAAAAGGTCAAAGTGGTGCAAATAAAATATTTACAGAAAAAAGATGTTACAAAGGAATAAAGAAACCTTAAAGCAACATAGAATTAAAAAGGAGTTGAAAATAAAGAATACTTGCAAAGTCCTTGATTTTATCCAACTGTCCAAGTGAAAATGTTGCAGTGGCTCTCTCGAGTCCGGTTAGGTGCTCCTTGGTTGATGTTAAAACGAGAGCTGTCAGAGGATCCTAACAGATCCTAAAGGATTTCCCATTTCTGTTGTATCAAAGGGGTGTTTTTGCAGAGGTCATCTGACCAATTACCCGGATTAAAGGGTGGTGGCTGGGAGGTCACCACGTTTGACCCCCAAATACAGTTTCTTATAAGTATTCATATTTCTGAATACCTACCATTTACAGTCTGCTACCATGCAGATTATTGCCCAGCATGAAATTAACTCCAAATTGAATATAAATATGGCTGGGGAAGAAGACCATTCTTCAGGTCTCAGATATCCATTTCTCATAGGAGGGGTGTGGAGGCCTAATTCACTCTACCTCCTAGCATAGGGATGTTTGGGTTCAAAATACTACCCAATAACTGGGGGAGGTAAATGTCTGGTAACTTTCTGGTCATTGGGGGTTAGATTCTGCTAGTCCTATTACCAGGCTGATAAGAGGTGTCTGTCATCAAATCTGATGTTGAGGATTGCATGAGCTGAAAGGAGGTGGAAGGGGAAGAGAGGAAAAAGTTACTGTGCAATGCTATCTTATGAAGAAATGACATAGACTTGTGACGTGGACTAAATGGCTGCAACACACGCAGCTATTCATGTGCCCACTATGCAAAACCATACCATTTCATATCAGGTGGACGTTTCAGCTCTTGGGTCCTCTTGGGTAGCTCTTTGAGCTGCAGGCAGTCTCTGGTTCTGTTTTTTTTTTTTTTTTTTTTTTTTTTTAATTTTAAGACCTGTTGACATTTGTTTATTGTATTGCCCACCCCTCAGTTAAACTTCCTATGTCCCTTGGTTGGCCTACTGTTTTTTCTTTTTCTTTTTTTTCCCAGCATTTAGTCTTCCTGTAGTCTGCAGTATAACCTGTAGGTTATAGATTTCCTGCATCCCTTAATGCACTCCAAAAGATGAGTATAAAAATCTGATTTTTGACTTTGTAAAAAAGCTTTACAAAGCTTGTTACAAAACAATTGAGTACTGTCAGCGATACTTTTTTTTTTTTTTTTTTCATTTCCACTTCCAAATTTTCAGGACTAGCATTTAGGGTGTACCCCATGAAGAAGAATCTTACAATCTTTATTGGTCAATTTACGGTTGGCCTGACTCAGGCTTACCTATGTTCTTAAAACTGCTTTTTGGCTTCTGAATTCTGTATTTACCTATTTCTGAAACAATTGCACAGTCCCTTGGCTAAAATCATAAATGGGAAAGATCACAATAACCTTCTTATCCAGGGAAAGTCCAGATCGTTACTTTTCTCTGCCTTTGGGGACACTGCAGTGTATAATTGTACTCTCCCAAACTTCAAAGGTTAAATCTCCAGCAGGGTCCTTCCAGCACTGCCACTAGTCTCACATAGCTTCCTTTCCAAGGTGCCCCTTGCTGTGACTGCACTCCTGCCTTATATAAGTACAATGCAGAGTTAATATCACTGCATTGTATGTGATGATGCTGAAGGACCATCCACAGCCTGGTAACAGAATGGGGGTAAAATAGGTAATGCAGCTTTTTCCTCTTCCATAGACGTAATGATCATTTAACCCTTGTACACTGCTGCAAGGTTTCTTTTTTTTTTTTTTGAACCTCCAGCCTGGAGCTGAGCTTTTAAAAAGAATTAAAGTGGTTGTAAAGGTTGAAGGTTTTTACCTTCATGTATTGTATGCATGAAGGTAAAAAACCTGTTTGCAACAGCTCCCCCAGCCCCCTTAATACTAACCTGAGCCTCATCTCGATCCAGCAATCTGAACAAGAGCCTCGGTTGTCCTGGGTCTCTGCCTCCTCATTGGCTGAGACAGCAAGTGGGAGCCATTGGCTTCCGCTGCTGTTAATCACAGCCAGTCAGCCAATGAGGAGGGAGAGGGGGGGCAGGGCCAAGCTGAGGCTCAGTGTATGCATGGACACACAGAACAGCGGGTGCCTGCATAGTAAGCTGCTTGCTGTGGGGGCACCCGACAGACAGGAGGAGCCAGGAGAGCCCATAGGGGACCTGAGAAGAGGAGGATCCAGGCTGCTCTGTGCAAAACCATTGCACACAGTAAGTATAGATATGTTTGTTATTTTACCCCCCAAAAAAATGAACCTTTAGAATCACTTTAAGAAACACTCCAAAGTTGGCCATATATAGACTGATATTTGGCTGGTTCAGCAGGGATCGGATAGATTTCGATCCATGTATGGGCAAAGTGGTTGTACAGAAGTTTATCTACTTCTGTGCAACCATCCTGTCGGATTTTAGCCACTTGATCAGCACTGCAGGCTATAGCCAGCGGTCCTGATCTGTGCATTCTGATGGCAGGGAAGTCCTCTTGGATTTGCGAGAAACAAAAAAAACTGACCCGAATGCGGTCAGTTTTTTTCGTTCAACCTGCTGCCTAAGTAATGACAACCCTTTATTTGAATTTTTATCGTTTCTCTATAAGCCATTGTTATTCTATAACAATATATTTATTCCTTATAGAGATAGGCTTGTGGTTAGCCTTTTCAGCAGTGCATCCTTGTCGGTTACTGGTGCTGCAATTAATTCCTTTCCATCTTTTGCTAATCAGTAATCTACTGTAACTGATGTCAGCTCTGCTTGTAGTTTTTGCTGTGTGGAGGACCAGCCCCATATGTATCTCTAAATGTATTGTGGCTAATATTTTTGTTCTTTTTTCCTCGCAGAAAAACTACAGTTCTACGTTACGAGGGATGCCAGTTTCCCTGAAGAATGGTCTTCTTCCCCAGCCAGAGATCATGCCACGTAGGAACTCTTTGATACTGAGGCTGAAGCCTGAATTTGTTCACCATGTGCCAGAAATCCAGAACAATGGACTAGAACAATACATCAGAGACTGGTTTTCGAAGCCAGTAGACCTCCATGGAGTCTTGTTACCAAAGTTAAATGGGCCAGATATAAAACTGTGGAAGCTCTGCTACCTTCGATGGGTTCCTGAGGCTCAAATTACTCATGGTGGCTTTATCACGGCTTTCCATAAAATTTCCGTACTAGCAGATGAAATTGAAATGCTGCAGACAAGCCTCCGTCAGTACCGATCCTACCCACTGTCTCAGGCCACTTCCCCAGAAAGCGAACAAAGCAGAATGTTTTTCCGGGTAGATGACTTGCACAGTAGCTATGAAAGTTTGGACTTCCTATCTTCCTCTTTCCCTTTCTCTCCAGTCGGGAACATGTGCCGCCGTAGTATATTGGGGACTCCTTTGAGCAAGTTTTTAAATGGTGCCAAAATTTGGCTCTCCACAGAAACACTTGCCAATGAGGACTGAGGAATGTATCACTGGTAGCTTAGCTGACCAAGTGCTGCATTTTTTTCTTTTAGCCAGACACTGATTTTTTTTTTTGCACATATGCTAAAAAAGGAGAATTTTACGCACAATGCTGCAGGAAAAGCAGTCACAGGTGCAGTCCTTCATAACTGGATACATGTTTATTTCCAAAATTGGATCTGATGCAGATATGATGTTATAGCGGGTACGGTGGTATCGGGTATATTGACATTGTTTTGTTGTTTTGTTTTTTTTTGTTATTTTTAATGTAACATGTATTTACCCCTTTCAGATACATTTAATGTTATAGGGCAGGACAGCAAAATTCAACGGAATATCCACTGTACAATGTTTTCTACTTTGGAAATGTTCTTTATGTCCTAAAGGGAATATTCAGATGTTGCACCTTGACATTGGGGGACCTGTGGACATGACTATACAATCTACATAAAAATTGCCTAGACCTAGCATTCTGTGTTTTGCTGACATCTTCTTGGCAAAGGATTTGCTCAAGAGCCTTTATCTGTATAATGAAAGCCTACAGTACAGTTACAAAAAAATAAGAGGGGGGGGGATAGAGCTGAATATCTGCTTTAAGGACTACTTGTAGGTCCTGCATATTTAAGGTACTTGCCCGCCCAGTGGATCCAGCGTTGTCCTGATAAGATCCACCTCTTTTCTGCCCCCTACCACCCCCAACCCCCCATCGGTCCTGCACTGCCATCTTCTGTGATGTCATCGGTAAGCTGCTGGCTTTTCCAGGTTCAGCCAGAGGCTTCCTGATGATGTGCCACCTGGTCCCACTTGCCTCCTCTTTTCCCAATGGTGGACTTTGCTTTCTTAGCCTAGACAAGAGCCAGAGTAATATATATATAAAAAAAGTAAATAAAAGGGGAAAATAAAGCCAGCCCAGTTTGTGCAGTGGAGGGAGGAGGGCTGGGAGGCATTGTGTTATGGAGGTAAAGTTCCACTTTAACACCTAAATGCTCGTTGGCAATCTCTGAATTTAACATTCTGAGTCATTGCATACTCATATTCTAAGTCAGAAAAGTGTAGTACACACAATGGAAAAAATTGGATAAAAGATTTCGTAGTGATCATCCAAAATCTGATTGTTAGTACACTGCTTTTGAGAGCCAATCCACAACAGTTCATGTAAAATTGTCCGAAGGGACTTGCACAAATATTTTTGAATTATTTTTGTTTAATCAGTACAGTATTTATCAGTAAAAAAAAAATTGAGTAACCAAGACTGCGCATGCTCAGAAATGAAAGAATAGATTACAATGCAATACAATAAATTACATGTACAATCTACTGTTTTAGGATGATTTTCCTTACTCTAGTAACCTATTAGTTTTCGATATGAGACTAATAGGCGAAAAAAGTCATTTGTCCGATATTCTCATTGTGTGTATGAGGATTAACTCTTTAAAGTACTAAAGCTATTGATTCAGCATAACCACCAGGCAACTCACATTTCAGTAAGAGCTTAAAATGACTGCCCCATATATCTCTCTGCACTTGTTTTAAAGGGACAGTACCAATTATGAGCAATAATAACAAGTTATTTTCCTATTCTGCTTTTTAGTTTTAGAGTTAATAGAAGGATGGAGGTGGACTATGTAGTGTATTTGTCACCCTTGCACATTAAAAGCTACCAATTGTAGGCCAATCCAGTATTGCGATAACGCATTTGCTGCTAAGAAAGCTGTTGGGAGGTTTTCTGACAAAATGCATTCCTAATACAAGCCAAAACACAATTCCATGTGAGGATGGCTACCTCAGTCTAACCCAGGGGTGGGCAACTGTGGCCCTCCAGCTGTTGGTGAACTACAAGTCCCATCATGCCTCTGCCTTTGGGAGTCATGCTTGTAACTGTCAGTTTTGCAATGCCTCACGGGACTTGTAGTTCTACAACAGCTGGAGGGCCACAGTTGCCCACCCCTGGTCTAACCAATGTTAACCTGCTCTGTCCCTCTCTGAGCTCTGTGGCATCCATTGCTGGTAGGTCCATGTTTACTTGCCATTCTTGGAAGAACCTCAAACAATCATGGATGAAATGATAGAAAAGGGAATTTATATATAAATCAGGACTCCTATATATGGAACTTGGAACAATAAAAAAAAAAGAGCTGGTCATTGCAAACATTTGGATTTTAGCTGGCATATTCTAGTGTAGTTCAGAGATGAAAAGAAAAAGTTTGCTCGCAATGGGTAATACCAATGGTTTTTCCATGCGTTCGGTTTCACAAATGTCTGTTTATAAAGTTGGAGGGCTTCACACATTAGCTTGTAGTTGACTTTTTCTGCATAATGCACAGAAGTTGGGCTTGCTTGGTGAATAATCAAAATGTGATGAAATGTTTCCAGATTGAAGGATGAGGGACCTTTTTCTCTTCCCTGTGGCTTGAAAAGAATTGTTCATACTCCCCAGCTGTCACAGGTATATTCATGTTTCGAAAACGAACCCACAATTATTAACAACAGTTACCTGCACCTGAAGTATAGTCACAAATTCACCCATTATGAGATATTTGTGCGGTGTATTTACCATGTTACCTACACTTTTGTGGGATTATTATTATGTTGTAACATTGAAGTCATCCTGTTTCTTCAATATAAGATCTGATCCCAGTGCCATGGTAACTAATTGATTCGGCCTGTCTGTCAGAGCATTATGTTATACAATGAAGTCCTCCTCTGAAATTTGGCCACAAACATGACTTGTACCCTGACGTGGATTGGCTGTCTGGCAAGCTGGCCAAGGGAATGTTCCAGCATCACGTACAGCTTAAAATTATCTGAATTGTTTTCCATGATTAGTCCACAGTGCCATCAGATAGACATTGTTGCAGCATCAGCCATATGGAATCATATTTATCTTAAATGTTATAAATCATGTTGAAATTTGTGGCAGTAAAGGGGGTTGTAAACCTTTACATACAGTGGATATAAAAAGTCTACACACCCCTGTTAAAATGTCAGGTTTCTGTGATATAAAAAAAAATGACACAAAGATAAAGCATTTCAGAACTTTTTCACCTTTAATGAGACCTATAAACTGTACAACTCAGTTAAACAACAAACTGAAATCTATTAGGTGGAGGGAAGTAAAAAATAAAAAACTAAATTAATATGGTTGCATAAGTGTGCACCTCATTTTTTCACATCACAGAAACCTGACATTTTGACAGGGGTGTGTAGAGGTTTTATATCCACTGTATATCCAATGAAGTGACTAGCATCAGATGATACACAGAGATGAAACAAATCCTCCTAAATGAGTTGTTTTTCTGCAGCCACCTCTTCTGTACAGCCTTCTAATGCACACATTTGACATAGTCTCTCTGAGCTCTAGCTGGCAGGGGGCAGGAATGTGACATCACACACGGCAGAGCAGATAGCTGACTGTGACCGGAGTGGAGGGAATGGATGTATAGATATATATGTATGTCTTTGATACAGTAAATATGAGAGACACCTATGACTCTCACCAATAGCCCTCTTTTTATAACATGGCCTTGTACACACAGACGTGAGCTTGTATAAGGGCAATGTGTATAGCAGCTTTGTGAAAAGCTAAAGATGCCTTTCAGCCCTGATTTGGGAATATTCAGCATGCATTGTAATTTGAGTAGTGGCTGTAACTTTATACAAGCTGCTAGCAGGTTTCAGCAGGGTTTGGAACTATTTGAAACTTGTTAAAAGCTTGCTAGTTAACTCATGAAAAGTGGCGGTGACCACTCCTATGTCATTTACCAAAACTGAAGCTTAAAGTGATTGTAAAGTCAAAACCTTTTTATTAAAAAGAGGTTTATAATTACCTGCTCTGCACAATGGAATTGCACAGTGTGCGGACCCTTATCTCCTCTTATGGGGTCCTTTGCCAGTGCTGTCTGCTTCGACCCTCCTGCATGTGCTCTCATAGCAAGCCCCTTGCTGAGGGGGGGGGGCACGCTCCTAAGCCAGGCTGTATGCATCCATAGATAAACACAGCCTCCTTTCTCTCTGGATTTTATTGACAGCAACAGGAGCCAATGACTGCTACTGCTCACAGTAAAACCTGTGAGACCAGGAATAGGGGAGAGAAGACTTGAAGCCAGAGACAGTGCTGGGTCGATTAGAAGTCTCAGAAAAGTGCTTCGGGAGGAGGTGGGAGTAACAGGCAGTGAAATGTTTTTTTATCTTATTGCAGATAATGAATTAAGGCAAAAACCTTTAGTGTTTAGAACCATTTTAAGGGTGCATTACGTTGTGCATGTGCGTTAATATTCATTCTGAATGCCTCATACACAACTGTTGATTGTAGTGCACTGCAATGTAACCACAACCAATGTAATGTGAACAGGCCCTAAAAGTGGTTAAGGTACAAGGTCTCTCTTTTTTTTTTTTTTAAACTTTCTGCAAGCAGTGCCATTCCCCCCCCATACTTACCTGTGCCCGATCTCAATCCAGCAATGTGCATGAGAGCAGTGGCTCTCTCGCTTCCTTCTCCCCATTTTACAAAGGCTCTTGCTGCTGTACATCAAAGCCAGTAAGGAGGAAGCAGGACCGGGGAGGGGCACACAGAGCCTGTTAGGAGGCAAGCAGCTTACTAAGGTGGCACTTGGCAGGAAGCGCCGATGGGGACCTGAGAAGAGGAAGAAATCAGGGCTGCTCTGTGCAAAACCATTGCAATGTATGTAACTTATGTAAAAAAAAGTGTTACCTTTTAAAATCACTATAAAGACGTAAGGAATGCTACATAAAGATTGTTAAAGTGGTTGTTAAGGCTGAAGGTTTTTTATACCTTCATGTATTCTATACATGAAAGTAAAAAACCTTCTGTGTGCTGTCCCCCCCCCCCCCCCCCCCCCCCTTTCCCTAATAGATACCTGAGCCTCCTCTCGATCCAGCGATGTGCATGGGAACCTTGGCTGTCCCAGGTCTCTGTCTCCTCATTGGCTGAGACAGAACAGTGGGAGCAATTGGCTCCCACTACTCTCATTCACAGTCAG